GGGGGGGAGGGCGGGGCTCGGCGGGGAAAGGGCGGGACCTACTTGCACCTGGGAGGAAGGGCGGGGCCCGTGACATAAGGGACAGGGGCGGGGCCTGCTCGTAATGGGCGGGTGGGAGGTGCCTTACTCGGTTTGCTCTGCGCGTGCGTGTCTCGTGCCAGAGCTGCCCGTGGCCCGGGTGGTGGCATGTGCTGGCCGGTGTATGATAATGACCGTAGTTGTACGGTCAGCAATAGAAAAAGTGCTCAGAATGTGCGCTAATTCATTCCCGGGGCCGGGGCCGGCCTCTAACGGCCAACGGCTCCCGCGCACGTGCGACCGGCGGCGCGCGGCTCATGGCCGTTCCCCGTTCTCCCTTGGGGCTGGCAGACTAGGGGGCAATGGTCTTGAGTTGCCGCAAGACAGGCTAGGGTAGATGTCAGAAAAACTTTCTCACGAGGAGAGTCGGGAAGTACTGGGACAGGTTAGCCAGAGAGGTTGTGGGATCTCCATCCTTGGGTTTTAAGACCAGGTAGATAAAGCCTTGGCTGGCATGATCTAGCTGGGACGGCTCTGCTTTGAGCAGGGGGTTGGACTAGATGACCTCCTGAGGTCCTTCCCAACCCTCATTTGCTGCGATTCCCTGGAGGATGTTGGCTTTCCACTCAGCACAATCTTCCCAACCTGCCAGGCCTGCCTGCCAGATCTGGCCACGAAGCCAGGAAGACTGAAGAGAGCAGGAAAGAGCCCACACGATGCAAGCCCAACAGACCTGTTTGTTTTGCTGTTTGCTCTGGACCAGGATAATACATTGCCTATCGGAGTCCCTCCGAGCGGAAAGCAGGGTCTTGCTTTTCAACACTGCTAATGTCATTCCTGGCCTGCCACTGGCCTTGTCCTGGAGTCTTCTGATGGTGGCTGTGGAGTGGTGGGCACTAGCACATCCACTTCTTGCATCTGGTTTCACCCTGCAGGTTTCTGCGTCGCATTCCTGATGGGGGAAGGACAGGCTTGTGGCTCAAGCACGGGGACTAAAATGTCAGGCCCAGGCCTTATACTAAGGGCGCAGCTACAGTGAGCTATGTCACTGTACAGCACACTACACTGATGTAGCAATCACGCGGGTCTACACATGGTTGGCAGCTATGTTGCTGTAGCAGGATGCTCCCCTGGTATAGCGTGCTGCTGCTACAGTGATGTAACAGCAAAATCTAACCATGCGCTATGCGCATGGTACAGTAAACTGCACCATACTTTAGTACTTCCAAAAGGACTTAAGCACAGCACTGTAGCAATGTTGCCATACAGCAACATGTAGACACAGCCTAATGGATCACTAACTTCACGTATGACCAGCGGAGTCATTACTCCTCTGGGCCCTGCCAACAAACGGTGACAGAGGTGTTGTGAAGCTGAACACATTAATGTTTATAAGATGCTTCTAATTCCACAATGGGAAGACGGCACAAAAGTGCAAATTAATATATTATATTTCCCAGAGCAGGGAGTAACTCTCAGTGGCTCTGTGTAAGTTTTTTTATTTGATTCTGATGCACTGTATTTGAACCGTCCCTCACAGGTTTCACGTTTGAGTTTTAGGGCTACATGAATTCATCCTTGAACTGAAATGCATTCAGCCTCGGTTTTGTAGCAAAACTGCCTACCTGATATGCCTTCTGCAAAACAACGTAACCTGGCTCAACTGAGCTCAAAATGAGGCCCCAATTAGTGAATTTTTTCACAAATCTGGGCTGAATGCTAGGTTTGCAATGAAATCTGAAATTAAACTGGTTTCTCCTTATTTTTTAGTGAACGTTTCTAGCTGAAGGCCAGTTTTATGACTCTTGATTTCAGAATATTTCATTTTCTAATGCCAATGGTGAATTTAGGCTCAAGTCCTTTCCTAGTCCTCACAGCTTCATTCTGCAATGTAATACCACTAGTGACTATGGCTTGTACCAGATAAGGGGCAGTTTTTAAGCAGTATAAGCAGAATCACTGATTTTCTTTGGAGAAGAATTTTCCAACTTTGTAATACAGTGCTTCTAATTACACCATGGTTTATAATATTGTGATTGTAATTACAGTGCTATTCCACAGGAATTACAACAGGATTGCATGACGGTTATGCCTTTTGATAGCACAAATTATATAACTGTAACAATATATAATTGGATTATTTATCGTTACCCCATTAGTTTCATGCTTAATGTTCAATAATTCTATCTTTTTGATACATACACCTAGTGCAAAATCCTATAGCCAGAATATGAATTACAGTGGTCACCCTTTATAGTCATTTTTAAAACCATAATTGGGTTGCAGTTACTTTAATTACCTTCTTATAAAGTGTAACTGGAGTTTCTAGGTTAATGTTTAGCAGGATAGCCTGTCAGCATTTAGGACTCAGTTCTGCAAACCTTTAGACATGTGAAAAATGCCATTATCTTCAAAGGGACCATTCTTGTGAATAAGGGTGATAAGAACCTGTTATTTTTTAGCCACTGGTGAGTTAAGCGGAGGGGTATGAGAAGAGATATGATAACATTTACAATATTGCACAAATCTAGACATTGTTTAGAAATTTATTAGCAATTTTTAAAATAACATCATTCCTTAGATAAAAATGCAATCTTACAGGAATATACATTTGTCCCACACCAACATGACCCTCTAGCTCACTTGTGGGCCACTCTGACTTCCTTGTGTTGATTTTAAAACGTGCGAGAGGGCAAGACAGACTCTGGCACCGATGACAGGCTTACATTACAGTTACAAACTGTACAGCATTATTTACAACAGCGTTTCTGTGGTTTCATGAAAACTGGGTATAAAATTGTGAGATGTGATGAACTGGGATGGGGGGAAGGGCTTGGGTGAAGATGCTCTGGGAAAGGTTGAGGAGGGAAGTATGCGAGAGGAGGTTTATCTCTGGACTGTTATACTTAGGAGAGTTCATTTCACAGCTCTGAGCAATTCAAATGAAGGCAAAACACGTACATTTATCAACATGTGTAGTTAATGGTCAGAGCAGGAAATGAGGTTCAAAGGCTCTGAACCTGAGAGGTGCTGAACCACATCTTCCCTCAAGTCAATGGGGAGGTGCAGGCCATAGTACCTTGCAAGATCAGATCCCCATTAAATAGAAATTGGCAAGGAAATACCCACTCCTTCCTTGTAAAGTCCTGGTCCTGTAGTTCTTAATTACTGAAGTCACTGGCTGTTTAGCTTAAGTCCTGCAGGATCAGAATGTAAGTGACGTTGTCTCCTCCAGTCAGAATTCATCCAAAGTGGCTTCTTCCTTGACTTACCACGTGTCAGTCCTTTGGAGGGAGACTCCCTCATTTTTAAATTTGTTTTTAAGGCAGTGTTAAAAGTTTCTCTCTTTCATGATGCAGCATTTGCTATGTGTTTCGGTGAGATATTGAAAATCTGACTGCTAGTCACTTGAAAGCTTCTCCTTTTCAAGCTATCACAGTGGGACACTCCTGCATCTGTCTTTCTGTCACTTCTTTGAGATATCATGGTGCTAAGGGCTTTTAGGGAACACGGAATAGTAGTCTAGAGCATTGGATACTGTATCTGCCTGATAAAAGAGCAGACAGACCAGGGAGCTTGGGATGCTGAGAACTTTACAGCATGTTTGGGACAGAGCTTGCATTTTTGTTTGGCTGGGCAAAATTTTGGGTAATGTGTCAGAGATGATTCAACTAATGGAGAGTTGGATCTTCAGTGAGTTGGTAAAAATGGATGCAGGCAGTGTTGTTTGGAAGGAGGGTGTTTGAAGGTTGGGAGTGAATCGGAGAATGAAGGCAGATTTGCTTTGGGCTGTGATGGGAGAATACCATCTTGGCCTTTGATGCAACCAGTCAGCCACTGGACCAACTGAAAGCAGTGGCTCAAGGGTGAGATGGACTTCAGGATAAGTGAGAATAGGCTGCTTGAGTGAGATGAAATAAAGAAGCTACTGTGTGGAAATGTGATGTTGTTATGGGCTACTGATTTTGCCTTCTGTTAATCACTGATCATGCTGAACCAGATGGATGCCTACATCCGTTTGTTTATTGATGATTCTCTTTTCAAGTAACCCTTTAGGTAGAACTGCTTACTTCTAAAGAGGGCCTGCTCTTTAGGCTCAAGATTCAGCAGTTAAGCAAAATCTTTATAAGGTGGGTTGGGGAAGGGTGACTGGATTTGGACAAGCAACTGAATAATAATATGGATAGAGATTTTCACTATCAGTATGATGCTAATAACCTTTGTTTGAATTTGGAACCCTGCCCATTTCCAGCACAGCACACCTCTCTGTTGTGCAGCTGTCCTTACCTGCTCCCATGCCAGGCCCATTGCAGCAGGGAGAAAATGCCAATTTTACTCTGAGATCTTCAGAAACAAAGTAGCTTCTGAGGGTAAGTCTCAGAACTGTACTCCTACTAAGAACTCTCTGATCCCTGGCCTTACCACATGGTAGTTTAACTATTTTACAAAATTAAATGAAAACCTATGCAGCAATAGCTTGTTCAAAATTGATATTGATCAGGCACCTTCGCAGAAGAAATTAAATGAAGAGAAATAAAAGTTCTGGGCCTGATGCTGCCCTCACTTATGGTTTATAGCAGTATAATCTCATTAGGTTCAAATGAATTAGTCTTGATGTGTTGCAGAACTAGTGAGAAAGGAACTGGGCCTTTGTTTGACAGGAACCATTGCTTTCTTTGTATACACTACAATCTGAATTTATCAAAACTTACTACTATGTGAAGTGGACTCAAGTCCACCTGACAGAGGCTATTTACTGTAAAGATCCCTTGATATTCAAGCTGCTTATACAGAGTGTGTCCCCCTGACATTCATAGTCGAGGCTGTGCATATGCATATATGCACTCTAGCTCACTGAAACACGTTGTGCATATATATATGCACAACGTGTTTCAGTGAGCCAGAGTGATGCAACCACATTTGGACACAGGTGAATATTATATTATATATGCACACAATACAGTATATATATAAAATACTTAGCTGTGTCCAAATGTGGCTCCATCACTGGCTCTCTGAATAGTTTTTCATCTGCATATAAGACGCAAAAGGCCTCCAAGTGCATATCAGAAGCCAGCTAGCAACCTGACTGGCTTGCAATTCTGTCACCTTGTAGGAATATGTCTGTGTGCAAACGCGCATACATTTCATACAGCAATCTGAAACTTTCAGTCAGAAAAGACACAGGAGCCTGGCTGAGACCCATACAACTGTTATATTGGCGTCAGTCTAAAGAAAGCAATGATACATTGCTTTGGAAATTATCAAGAAATGTAAAAAATGCATTTGCCCTTTTTTGTTGTTGTTGTCATAGTCATCGATGGGGCAGGGTTTTGAGTCAGAAAACAAAGCAGAAATAGATGCGATTCTGTACATGGTGCTCCATCAGCTGTCCTTCCAGACTGGGGTGCGGTGGGGCAGGGTAATAAAATGGGTTGGACCCCTTGCAGCAGCAGCAGCAGCAGCAGCAGCAGCAGCAGCATACATACATCCCACTGAAGAGGCAGATAATGCAGAAAAGGTCTGTGGATAAGGAAACTCCAGGTCTGGACCATTAGTTCTGCTTTTTCCATCATGTTAGTCACACAAAATAAGGAAGAAAAAAGAAATTCATCCAGTGTGACTGGCCTGGTACTTCCTGGAATACTGACTAGGAGTGATAGGGAAGAGGTGGTCATTTTGTAAGAAATGTCTTTAGTCTGCAGTGTACTCTTATCAAGCTGCAAATCAGACACCAATGACAAAGATAAGATAATTTTCTCTTTCTCTTTGCTTACACAAAACTCCTCAGCCATTAGTTTCTTTAAAGCTTCCATCCACAGCGTAGTGATTGTACCTAACATTCATACCAATACACAGGGAAAGGAAGGACACTTCAGGACCTAAACCTACCCTCACCCACTACCTTGTCCCAGACTCTGCCCCAGTGGAAGGAGGCAGTAGCTCTTTGCTCAGGCCACTGCAATTTGTATGTTGGTAGTACCTGAAATGGGATGCCACCCTCTATAGAAAATGAAACTTGCACAGCTGGCATCAGCAACCTTTGATTTGAGTCCCAACTCCACTCATTCTGAGCATCACCTTCATCTGCAACACCCTCTCTCCTCAAGAATTTAAATCAGTAGAAAGAAGAGGATTATTCAGTAGAGACCCAGGACTTCCCCTACTCTTTTCAGAGTCTGATCATGGAAGGTATAACAGTTTTCACAGAAAGACGTGGACAACATAAGCATCTTCCCCTAGCATGAGGCCAGCTACTAAGAGGTGATGTGAACTTACTGAGCATTCACAGTTCTCATTGACAGCAATAACGGCCTGTTCAGTGCAGTAGCCTGTTTTTCCAAAGTGATGAGCCACTCAGTTCCCAGTGGTGCGGATGAACTGAACTTTCCAGAAAATGAGAATGAGTTAGGGAGTTCTACCATCTGAATTCCCCTCTGAAATGGGTAACTAGGAACAGCACTACTTTGTCTTCCATAGTACCGGGCCTATGTTACCCCTCTGGAACATCTCAACACTAGAAAAGCCCTCACCAGGACTTGAGGTTTGATTCAGATTAGATAGGCATTCAGAAGTCAATCCTGAATCCTTACTCAGGTCATAAGCAAAACTCTTGCGGGACCAAATCCTCAGAAACTTGCTCTTTTTTTCAGCCAGGCTTTACTAGGACAAAATTCTTACTGAAGTCAATAAGGATCTGTTCCAGTAAAGATAGAGCAAAGTGGTCAGGATCTGAGGAAGGCAACCAACTTTCAGGAACCCTAGTCAAGGACACTCTACAGGCCTCTAGAACCAGAAGCAATTTACACCACTTTTGGTTCCAATTATTAGCTGCCTTAGTGCGGCACTGCAAGCAGTCTAATTAGCTCCATTAAGAGGCAGAGCTAATTAGTGCAGCCACATTTATACACACACTCAGAGCTAATTAGCTAGTGGTGCAGCCCTGGAGGAATATGGCTGTGCTGCTTCTGGTTCATGGTGTGGCCCATAGGTATTTCCTGACGTGGAAGCAGGATAGCCACATTCCTAGGGCACCCAACATTACTGTGATATGACCTCTCAGCAGACAGAGCAGGAAGCTGCCTGATGCTGATCTGCCTCCAATTTTTCAAGTATGGGATACAATCTGTTTCATGGATTCCCTAGGGTCACCAAGACACAGCCTTGAAATTTAGGACTGACCTAGAAAACTTAGGATGTTGGTCAGTGGGCTGATTAACTTCAGGATGTAGTTTTGCCTATGCAGGCCTTTAGCAAAGACTTGCAGATTTTGATCCTATGTTGTTATCTAAATTAATGCAAACTCTTTTGATAGCCAGGCTGGAAATCTCCTAACAAGAGGCCTTTTCTTGCAAGATATCCAGGACATTTTGAACTGCTGCCAATCAGTTTATAATACCACAGAGAATTTGATACTACCTAAAATATCCCTTTGACATTCTGTTTTCTGCTCTGTTATTTCTATTTTAGGTCCCCAGCACACAAGACCTGGAAACAGAGATATACATATTTAAAAAAACAAACCAAGAAAACATTTTCAAATTTCAGAAAAAGCTCAACTTAGCGGTTAAGGTTTGGTTCTTATTTTCCTGAGTCAGGTAATTTTTCTTACTCATTACTGATCTAAAAGTCTGAGATCCCATCTTGAAGAGAAAGCAAAACTTGTGGTAGTTTTAGATAGTTAGGATTCCAAATGACACAATTTCAAGTTACTTCAAATACAGAAACTGTTTCCAAGGAAAAAACTCAAGCAATGACATGAGACCTACAATTCCTTCCTGGTTTTACAACCTCTGTCGTTAGTAAGAAACAAATGCCAGGCAGAAGAGGGACAAAAAGAAGCTGACACAGGGCCATTGACTTCAGTGGAATTATGCCAGGTTGAATGTGGTGAGTCTGGGAACCTGACCCTTAAAATCAGGCATGGGGAGAATGATAAGATTACACACTGGAGTGCAACCTATGGGTTCATATCGCTCAGTGTCAATGCCTTGAGCTGAGAGTCTTCTTCTTTCATCTGGCTGATGTAGATACAGAACAGCTAAGGGTAATACTCAAGCAATTGTCCTGAATAACTATCCAGAATCTCTCCCCTCACTTATCCTGGGATATGAGTCAAGGCCAGAGTTACCTAGCTAAGCCTCTTTCATTTGCTAGTCTGGGTAACTGCTGTTGTTGATCAAAGGCTAGGGATTTAATGAAAGAAATGTGAAATCACATATTTTCCCCCTACTAGAGTTGCTGGTGCCAGCTGTTCCTAGAATACATCTACCAGATCAGCCTGGGTTTTGTGACCCTTTAGTGAGAAAAAGCATTGGAAGAAACAGCAAAAGGGAAGAGGATAAAGACTGGATAAAATGTCCTGGTCTCAGGAACAAAGATTCTCTACCATTAAATTCATCGTGCATGTTTAAGGGAATGAGGAAAAAAGGAAAGTGAACACAAGATATGCAAAATCAGTAACGTTCAACCTGTCAGTGGATTGCAGAATAGTTAGTTACACCAGGTACACTTTGTTCATTGTACAAATTAAAAAATAAAAAAAAAAATATTTAGTACCCCTTTCCCCAACCACACGTAGAAAAGCACTTAAAAGTTCAAAGGTAAAGCTTGGCACACTTCAAATACGAAATGATTTACTTTACATGCAGCAAAATATACAAGAAGTGATTTTAAAACAAACTTAATTCAATTCATTATATTCGCTTGGCACAATTGCAATTCATTTTAAAAAAATATTTGAAAAATACTGAAACTGACCTGAATTCAAGTATTACGGTTTCTTCAACAGAAACATTATCAATGCAATAAAACATCACACGGAATATATCGAAGCGTAACTCCTCCTCGTTTTGTTTTTTTTCCCCTTGAATTTTTCTATACAGTTTTAATGCCAACACAACTTACAATTGTATTTTAAAATTAATATTATTGCATTGTTTTTGCATATCTTGTGGAACAGAAAATGGAAAGAGTTACTGATTCCCCTTTCAAAAAGCAGAGACAGTGGTTTGTTTTTGCATTCAAATAGCCCCAGATACAGATCTCCTGCAGTTAAAACCAGGAAGTGGAGAACTGAACACACTTAACACGCACCCGCGCACACACACCTACACACGCACTCTCATTCAGTGTTGCTCATACACTCACAAATATACTTAGCACTAAAAAGAATTCAAATCAATCACTCAAATGTGCAAGACTATATCAAGTGCATTGCCTACTATCTTTAAATTATAAAACAACAACAAAAAAGGAGGTTTCCATTACTATCAAATAAAATTACAAATTCTTGGTGTACATAATGGTTGGTAAAACTCTTCTATCATTATACTTCTACCGAATTTCAATGGAGCAAAAATAGTTTAAATAATACAACATAATTAAACTAATTTAACATTTGCAAAGGTGAAAACAAAACAAAAGGTAGGTGATTACAAAACTTTGTAAACACTCCCTTCTCCCCTCGCCCTCCAAAAACAACAACAAAAAAACCCCTTAAAAATAAAAATTGCAACATGCTTTCAAGAAAATATCAAACTGCAAAAACAAGGAGAGATCTACATAAGCCCATCACCACCTCGCTAAGAAAAGAGCAGGTTGCCTCAGCTTTGCTAGACAGAGCTTGCTCCCTACTCTCCGACTGGTTGGCACAGCTGGCTGTCTGAGCTCTGATTGGTTGGCAGACATGATTGCCTGAGCTCTGATTGGCTGGCAGAGACCACTGCCTGGGAGTCTCCTCATTTTCTGTCAGCAAGGATCTGCAGTGTTGCCATCTGCCTCTCATGTCCCTAAGGCTTCTTCTGCTTCCTCCTCCCCAACAAGGTGCTGGAATCCACAGCAGAAGTCCACCATTCCTTTCCAAATTAAAAGGGCCTTGGCTTTATGGAGACGGTGAGGCTTATACAGAATATGTGCAAAATGATTTTTACAAGCAAAGTTGAAAGACACCCGTTTGATGCAGGGTCCTTTTGGCTAGGGCCATCAAGAGGAAGCTGCGATTCTCCTTCGCATTCAGGAAGCAGTTGTCGTTCCTTGTATGGGGACTGAAAAAAGAGGGAGCTGGCTCTCCTCCTCCTTCTCTTCCTCCTTCTCCTTCTCACTCTTTCTTCACGGACATATGCTGGGGTTGTATTCACTCCTGAAAAGCTCTCTTACACCACCCAACTCTGCGACTCGTCCCAACAGAAATGAATGAAGAACGCTGTTCCGGTTACTCCAGGTCACGAGAACAGTGAGGCACTTCTGAAACAAACCCATTAGGAACATTGAAACAAATAAAAAACCAGCATCGCTTCAGCCCTGGCAACTACAGGCTGCTGATATAAATCCTGCTGTCCTTGAGCTCCTCCTGACTTTTTCTACAATCCGGGTTTTGCACCTCTTCCTCTTCCTCTCCTGCACTGTCCTGCCCTGGGTCCCTGCAGTTAACAAAAGGCAAGAGGTTGCCATTGGGGCTCTGCTTGCTGTTACCATTGAGAATGTTGTCTGCTGCATTTTCCATCTCTTCTATCGTCATGTCACACGCATCTGCTAGCTCTTGGGTTGTGACCTCAATGAACTTTGGATCTTGAGCAAACTGCATCAGTCCTTCCGAAATCAAGACCTTCAAAAACAAGTGGGGATCCAGGGATAGGAGACAAAGATGAAAATTATTATTAGCATCATCAGCCATCTCATGCCACCACTGTATCAGCCCCTATCTGGCCACTTTTTTACTCCCTTTATTTGTATTCATGCCACCAATCAATTGCAGCTTGGAAATGGATACTTCTACTCACTGCACTGCCATCAGTAGTAGCACTGAGTATATCCTTATAAGGACTGTAAAGATGGCTCATTCTTAGTTGTTGCTGCAACTATTGGCACATCTTTGGGGCTTCAATGACTTACCGCTTCAACAAGGCTGCCAGCACTGCCGTGGAACTGCCTGCTGCTCCCTCCAGTTTGGCTGGGGACAGTGAGAGAGACCGGCCGGGTTCTTCTAGTGCTGCTGCAGCTGGCGCGGTCAGAGTACCAAGAGCTGCAGTGTATCGATGGGAAGCTACTATTGAGTTTCTCACTGGACTCTGCTCCATCAAGCCGCAAGGTTGGGATGGTCTGCTCTGGCCAGCCACGGCTACAGGGTGTGGCAGGGGGTGTGGCACACAACCGGGAGAACATGGTTGGGGAATGGCTTCTCTGGAGCAGGGGACTCAGACCCGCCACAGCTAGTGCCTGTAGGCAGAGAGAGAAAGTGTACAATATAACCCTGCTCCTAGAAGCACCACTTGAATGGCAAGGCAGGACAGAAACTGTACAAAGAGGGCTTGATGGGGCCTCAAGCTAACTGGAATGACTTCTAGGAAGAACAGCTATTGTTGATGCAACTGTAACTGTCTGCAAAATATGGACCCAGATACGGGTTTTGAATACTCCAAAGCTTAGGGGTGTTCAGATCTGCCAGTGTATTGATGTTTCCTGCTAATACATTTTATCAATTGAATCTCAAATGTTTTAGTTTGTTTTGGTAAAACATCCCCTATCAATACAACAGGTACAAGGGCAGACTGTAGTGATGCAAGCTTTCTCCACATAACCCTGCCACTAGGCCAGCCTGAGGAAGGCATGCCAGTTTCTGTGGTCAACAGTATACAAGAGCAGGAGGTGATGGACATCATGTCTGGCAGTTAATATCATTGTCACATCTCAGTTACCAGAACACTTTTCATAAAGAGTGAAGATTTTCAACAGCACAAGGGGCAGTTAGACACCCAACTCCTAATGACTTACAGTAGGTAACAGACACCTAACTGCAATCTAGCCTATGAAAATTTCCCCCTCTAGACCATCCTAAAATCATTGCTTTCCCAAGCAGACTGCAGTATAGTTCCTGCTTTCACGAGGAGGGAACAGGGTGCAGCGTTCGGAAGAACAACAGAGGCGATTCTAGAGCTCATTTTCAGGAATAGATTGCGTGCTGAAATATATAGCAGCCCCTGTTTCCGAACACTACAATATTGTCTCACATACCACACACTGCCAAATAAGTTACAAGCCTTGTTTTTTGGAAGGCAGAATGTAGGAAAAAAGGTTTTCTAGAGTTATGGCCAACTGTGTGACATACAGTTAGTCCCTCCTGGAAACATGGTATCCAGGAAGTGTGACATCCCAGGAGACAGTTTGGGTGAGGCACCAGGAACCTCCTGGTGGGGCAGGACAGCAACAAGATTATGCCCCAGACCCCTGCAAGGGCAGTAGCAAAACCATTACTTGTTTATTGTAAATAGTTCTTTAATAGGTTCTTCTAAATAAGAAGGTGTTGTTTCCACACTCCAAGCCTCATCAAGAAACTACACACTTCATGCAGTAGATCGTTTGCCCTAAGCCAGCACAACTACCGTTTCACACATAAGTTGCAATGCTCAGCCAATAGTGGCAGTGAGAGGTTTAACACTGCATGTCACCCCTGCTGAGTGGGGCTTTGCTGAACATCCAAAGGGAAATTAACCAATACTAACAATAGGTGTTACAAATCTTAATGACACCCATTGAAATTTAACAACAACCAGTATTATGTGGTCTGTATTCTGACAGTGGAGCTTTTTTGTATCAGCATCATTTACGTAAGAGAGACTTTATGTGGTGGAATAATGGATAGCTTTCTGTCCAAGTAATACACATTCCTGACACACACAAATAGGAAGGATGTTCTTCCACAGTACAGCCTTCTACAAGTCCTTTTTGCATTGGTTTCTTCATCTGTTTGTATATTATATATCTGTGAGTTAGCCTGAGAGTTCCATGATATAGCAAACTTTTACTTTTAGGCATCACATACACTAACATGGTTGTATAGTTCATAATGTAGACTGTAATACAGAAGAGACTAAAGGGAATGTGAAGAATTTCAAGTCTGGCAATACTGTATGCAAGCTGTTTCTGTGATAGTTAATATATTGCAGTGACAGACAAGGAGAAGCAATTTATCACCAAACTAAAAGGCCCAATTCTGACTTTGACACCTGATTAATTATCCAGGAATATCCAAGTAGAAAGCACCTGCTATATTGCTGAAGGCACCTGCACAGGGTTTTAAGAAATAGATCAATTACATACAATTGGTTTATTTTTAAAAGATGATTAATTACAGTGACTGATTACTTTTTATTAATATAGAGATAGACCCTGCACATTTTAATTATGCAAATAGTTTATCAGAGTCAATGTATTAGAGTTGAATGTGGGTAGTTATTTTTGTCTTTATTTTTGTTTGATTATTATGTGCTAGGAGATGTTGGTAAACCAGGAGAGTGTATTCCTGCAACTTTGTTCTGTGAGTTATGGGAGTCCTGGAATCAAGAGCTGGCATGAGGAATATAGTCATGCCTTTGGCATTGGTGAAAAAGAGTTCTGGGCAGCCTCCAAATGGTTGGCTCATGATGCCACTGGGAAGTGTGACAGATGGTAAATATCTAGCAGTGCTGGGGCACATCTGCTTAGTAATCAAAGCTTACCTGATGATGTACGAGATGCAAGGGCAGAACTGTCTTCTGTGAGACATCTACACCTTGGTTCTTCTGTCTCTTCAGACACTCCAAATGAAATGATGCTCTTCGACCTGCAATGTCAATTGCATGGAACTGTCACCATCTTTCAGAGACACAGTGAACAAATTGAGTGGCTGGTGCAGGGGTGGAGAGATTTAAGGTTATGCCAACCACTGCAGATGGCAGTGGGGGAAGGTAGAGGAGGGGAAGGAACGTGTTACCTGCTTAGGCTACTGTTGCCACTGCTGCTGCTGTAGCAGTATCAGCTCTGGCAGCAACAGCCCCAGAGCTGGGCTTCCTGGAAGCTGACCCTGGTGCCTTGTTTGCTCCATGTCCCCAGACATGTACACTGAGTGCAGGGCTGTGCCTGCTCTGGCAAAGGCTCCTGGGGGGTGGGGGGAACCATGCCACTTGCCCAACTTACTCCCTGCCTTTCCAGACAGGTGGGGGATATTTTTGTGGCGCCCGGGGCTGGTGCCCTGTTTGCCCCACCCCAGGTACACTACTGTCATCCCTTACACAACAGGGATTCTGATTTGAGACTGCCATCAGTATAATCTCTTGGGGCTGAATGGAAGGGGAGGGAATCCCCATTTTAACTCCTGTCCACTTTATCTTGACACTATACAACTTGCTACAGCAACTGTACTTGCAAAGAGTTGTCAGGTACTATGAACCATGACCAACAACCATTTTTCAGGGAAGCAAAGGACACACAAAGTCTAGGGATCACACAGTGGAGAAGTCTCCAGGACGATGTGAGAAATCAGTTAAGGCATGACTAAATATTCCATGAACATCATGATGGAATATTACCTAATGATGAGGAGCAAAGAAATCCCCTCCTTGGAGACTGCCTGGTGTCCTCCCCTTTGTTATTTTCCGGTGGCGTCAGCTGTCTGTTTTCATCATCTTGGTATGAGAGCCTGAAATGATAATCACTGACAGCCTGAAACTGCAGGGCACCATAGTGGATGAGTAGGGAAGGGCAACACTGTTGTGCAGGAGATGGGGGCAAAGGAAGATCATTTTATTTATGAAGAAGGGATGTAATTAGCTAGCTAGCTCATTAAATCTAAGTGGTTTGAAGATAGCATCCAAGTCTGTGGGACAGAGAAAATCTGAGAACATTAGACACCAGTAATGGATGGTGGAGACAGCCCTAGCAGCAAAGTCAATGAAGGAAGAAGTAGAGAGGAAAAGGTGTGTCAGCCTTAGAAAAAAGATTCCTTTGCTGCTACTGTTTTTCTAGGTTAAAAGACATTTTCCATGCTCAGCTGTATAGACTGCCAGTATTCTCTCTGCACATCTTTCTTTTAATTAGCCATCTTCCTATCTCATTTCCTAAATTGATCTGATGGAGTGCCTTTAAAGAAAAATACCAAGCAACCCTAAATCCCCAAGTCCTGTGGTTACAATGTTGCAAAGCTCACATTTCAGTAGAGATCAGGCTTGGCTCACTGCAGTATTCAACATCTTCATTCAAATTTTCATCATAAGTCTCATCCTGAGACACTTCCTCTTGGCAAACGATTGCCAGCTGGCTGTCTCTGGAACCGGAGCTAATGAGCAAAAGAGGCAAGTCAGGATGTGGAGGTGGTAAAGAAAACCTGCTACTGAGACAAGAGTGACAGGGCTCCATCTGTCTCAATTTATTCTATTGACCCAGTACAGAGACATCATACAAAATCAATGATCGAAGAGACAGAGCAACAGTTCTTAAATATAAGTGATTCTTTGTGGTGTCTTCCCTTACTGGGAGCATCTTAAATCATAGCACTGAGACTTCATTGTGATGTATATAACTATGTTCATTACTGATCAGGCCTGTACTGCATGAGCAATTACACAACACTGACTAAATTCCTGAATTTCTGCCCATGTCCTGGGCTTAGCCTAAAACCTAGAATAGATTTTTTGCGATAGAAAGAGACAACCTCTTCTGTGAACAGACCCAAAGTCCTGGTTAAGAATTCTGAAGGATCATCTCCTTGACACTATATTGCCCCGCTCAGCTCTGATGTATTTAGTCTCTTTCTCCTACATTCCTTTCCCTATGCCATCTCTTTCCCTCTGCTCCTTTTTTGTTCTTTCTCCTCACTATCTTTGCTATAATTGGTCACTTTTCTCCCATGACATGTACAGATAACTCCCCTGTGTTCAGTAGCCACTATACAGATTCTGCAATGGGTAGAGCCCTTAAGTTCTCTCTTTACTACAGTTTCCTGCTTTCTGCTATTTTACTGTACTTTGAGTGTGCAAGCAGCAGAGTGAAAATGAGAGACACTGAATTTTTGAAAGGCTAACATGGAAAGAACAGAGATCTGGACAGCAGTCACTTTTACTCTCTTACCAGCGCTCTCAGAACAGAGCATGGCACAGAAGTCCCATGCAAGCAAGAGAGAGGAAGACAAATATGGTTGTTTGCTCATGTGGTTCAAAAGCCTGGGGGAGTGGAGGAATGTGAATATGTATATCATGGTATGGGTGAGGTGAGAAGAAATCCAAGGAAGAACGTTCAAATGATTTTGCTGTCAGTGACAGGCAACTGCAGCTGTAAAGGTGTTAGGGAGGAGACCCAAGATTCACCAGCTCCTTCACCAGCACACACAGCAATGTCATAACTAAACCCTTCAGCGTTTTGGTAACAACAGGTTGGAGTGGACTTCACACAGTGACTGGAGAATGACTATGGTCAGGTCTGTGATCACATGGAGATAGAGGTGAAAAGTCCATGTGAACCCACTGAGAAATCCAAGTATTTCAGTTTCCACATAACTGTCTATCAGCATGGGAAAACCTTTTGAAAGCATCAGCAAGAGCATTACCTCTTCTTTCATCCCTGTTGACACTAGAAGGAAGGGCTTAGATTCAACACTAATGGGGATTTGGACCTTAACTTCAACAGGAGTTGAAGTCTTATATCTGGACAGCATTAAAGCATGAAAGAAAACACCTACCGTCCCGATGTTTCATAGTAATGTGTCCTAGTACACCAAGGAAGCAAGGGGGGGAAGAGAAGACCAAGTTAGGAATGCAACATACACACAAGTATGGAAGAGACAAGGATGAAAACAAATGACCGTGGAATTCCTTTGGCTTCCAGCAAGAAGTTTGAGAAATGAAAGTCACTGGATTCTTATTAAAGTACAGGAACACATTTAACACTGTCATCTTATTATTTGCCTCTCTTTCCCCCTAGAACAGTGTTCCTCCATTTTTTCAGATTAAAATTGCCTTATTCAAAGTAAAAACAAAACTCACAACCCACTCCTTACATTAGCTATAAGTGAGAAAAATGTTATGTACAATAACAGTACATGTAATATATTATTTGTGTGTCAGTACTGGTTTCCAGGATTGACAGAGATTATCTGACCCTGCAGAATAAGACTGTAGGCAGAACGCAAGATTTTCTTGGCTTTACATTGTAATAAACTTTTTCAAGGCCTCACATCTTCCCCGACTGCATTCTATGAGCCCCTTGGAGGACATGACCCACTGACAGAAAGACACTGATCTAGGTTTTTTCTGTGAGCTTCTTCTTGTGTTCTCATGTATGAACTGTATTTCTTCATTCTTTCTCTAATTCATTAGTGGTAAGTTAAAACACCTTGCTGCAGGTGCAGTTCTCTCCAGATCCTGTGAGTACAGTTGCATGATAAAGCCTGGAAAGTCAAAGGTGTTGATCAAAGGTGGTGCTAAATCCTCCTGCTTCCTAAGGGATGAATGTGGTATTTCTGCAGCATGGCTAGCTTGTGCGCCCAGATGAACCCCAGAGCATATTTTAGATCTTGTGCAGAACAGTATCTTGTTTAGCATCTCGAACCCTTGGTTCTTGACCTTTTTGTTTTGTGTTTTTGGTTGAATACCACTTTTTAAGTTAAGGCACGCTCTGCTGATTACAAGCCCAGGATAAAAAAGACACCTTGTGAGATTACAATCATATTCTATCCCTTCAAGTAATCTAAGATATATTGTAAAGTTGTTCTCCAGTTTTTCCTTCTCCTCCCTTTCCTCCATTAATATTTCCCTTTTATGCTTTCAAGCATCTTCCTCTCACATACCCTCAGGAAGTTTGCCTCATTACCCAAAGGGTACATCTAACCAAGTTTGAGAAACAGTGCTGTAGATTGTGGGAGAATGATGAAACAGCATCTGAGTAGACAGTATTATTGTTTTTTTTAACATATGTCTGGGCTTCATTAGCCCAACAGACCATCCCTTCTTTGAAGCTTACCTTTTGGAGCCAAGTTTCCAAGGGGCCTCCTGCACACGTATGGTGGGTGACAAGGGAGTGCCATGTCCCTCTACTGTGCTGACAGTGCTTGGAAAATTGGGTGGGCTTGGGAAGCGGCACAAGGCAGTGTTGTTGGCATTGTTGATGTTGGCATTAGAACCTGAAGAAGAGTAGCTGCTAGGAGTAAAGGTGGAATCCACTAGCTTCTCATGGGATGGGGACTCAGTATCTCCCTGGTTGTTGCCAGATTTATTGATGTGCAAAGGGCGCTGGGTAGTGAATGTCTGGGGGAAGGTGCTCCTGCCATCACTTTGGTAGTAGCTGACATGGTTTCCGAACAAGCCACCAGCCCTCTGTTTGTAAAAAAGAAGATATATTCCCTTGGTAAGTGAGAAGATGTACAAACAAGGGCATTTCTCCCGTGTGACATTAGCAGAATGGCCAGTATGGGCCCACTATATCAAGCTGTACAAGCAAACCACTTCTTTGTCAGGAAATGCCCCAAGCATGTGGGCTTTTCTGACAGGACACTGAGGTGGGACAGGGTGGAGTCTCGTGCTAAGATATAGAGGCTGGGTCCAGAATACAGAGGTCCCTGAGTGGTGAAAAGGCATCTTTCACCTCTCTACCATTATTGTGTTGATTGGCATCTAGGTGGGATGAAGAATCTGGGCTATAGTTTTCAGTTCCAGACAGCAGAGTACCACAGAGATTGAAAAGAATTCCAGATAAAGCAACTAATATAATCACCCAATTAGAGGGTCTGGTGAGGAACTGAGAGCCAATTATCTCAATCTTAGCTTAGCTAAAACATGACAGATGAGATATATAATAACTTTTTGTAAGCATTTGAAGGGTGCAGAAACCATGGAGGGAGAAGAAATGATGCCCAAAGGCCATAACTAGAAATCATGGGATGAAACTAAGGAGAAAAAATGGTTGATTGTCCAGGAAAATTTTCTACCCTGAGAAAAATTTCCATTGAGAAAAAATGGAGTGAAATTTGTGTAAAGTTCTCAGGATTTGGTTCTCTGATTTTACTGAGATCTGCCTGTACACTGTCCATCTCTGATCTCTAAAACAGACACAGACATTGTAAGCAAAGAACTATACAGCAGGCAAAGAAGAGTCCCAGGAGCAGCACCTACCCTAAAGATATCATCTTCAGAAGCAGCAGAGACAGCTTCTTTCATGGCCTTGTCTAGTTCCTCTTCAGCTGTCAGGTCCCCTGAGATAGCCCGTCGGATCTCTGGCCCAATGTCATGCAGTGTGCGCAGACCAGCCTGGAAAACAGTACAGTGCAGTGCAGTGTTGTCATGTAGTGAGGGAAGGAATAAAAAAGTACCACTTCACATTACATCCAGTGCTTTTCTCTGACTGTTTTGTTAAATTAAGCCAGTGTCAATGTCCTTCTGTAGGTCAGTAAGTACTGTTATCTTAGAGACTAGCGAATTGCCCATCAAGAATGACTGGGAGAGGTGAGGGGAGGGGGGGTGGGAGGCGCACGGGGACAGAGTGCTGCCACCCACCACCCTGCACTGCTGCTGCTCTGCATCCAGCCCCATGCCAGCCACCCCTCTTCCCCCCCAACTCCGTGCCTGGCCCTGCGCCATACCCCTGCACTCTGCGTCCACCTGGCCCGCTCTGCCGGGGTGGAGCCCCCTCCCCACACCACCGCTGCCTCCCAGGAGCGGAGGAGGGGAAGCTTGCCCCACCGTCTCCTCCGTCTCCCTCCACCAGCTCCTTATGCTGCCACTGGCTCCAAGGAGCAGGGCTGGGGGTGGGGGGCAAGGCCAGCACCACTGGCCTCACACCCCCACTTTGTTGCTGCTGTCTGTCTCTGCAGAGCACTCTGACTGGTTGTTTACAGACAACTAATCAGAGTACTCCAAGAGTGTTATGGACAGACAGACAGATGGACTAAGCCCTTTATCATATTAGAATGGAGAAACTAACACAACAAAGAGGTTAGGTAACTTGTCCAAGGTGACATACCAAATTTCTGGCAGAACTGGCAAGAGAATTTAGGAGTCATTTCAGTTCTTTGCTGTAACTAGCCCAGCACATGCACATAAGCTTAATGATTTAAACTTAGCTCCTAAATTCATATTTAAGCACACTAATAAAAGTGCACCTTTTCAGAAATGCTGAGAATCCACTACTCTAACTGAAGTCAGTAGTACCTCAGATATTCAGCACCTTTGAAAAATCAGGCCACTCATATCATTGCTTAAATATGGATTTGAGCACCACATTTTTTGGTGCTCAGGTTTGAGAATTTTGGTGAGAAACTGTATCAGGCTTTTGCCAAACCTTACTGACTAGAATGCGTTTCCATCAGGTCTGGCCTAGAAGATGGGAAAGCTGTCATAATGCTAGTGCTGAGCACCTGGAACCTACTCAGACTGCCCTACAGCTGGCAGGGCACATTGTTTTTGCTTTGACTCCAGTCTCACACATTTTCCTCACTTTCTCACAATTTCAGAAGTAGATAGAGCAGAGGATTCCCTGTTTGAGATCAGCAGAATGTTCTCATTTTTTCATATGACCCAGCTGTCCAGAAGGTAAATCAGTAGCAGAGCCATAAGCAGATCCCAGGTCTCAGGATTCACAATCTGCTACCTTATGCACTGGATCATGATGCCTCCTACTTCCTAACTGCTGCTGCATGTTGGCCCAATAGCTTCCCTGATATATCCCTAGTGGGATTCTCCTCAAAGCGTTTGGTGATGAACATAATAAGGGTATTGATCCTTCTTTTACTTGGTTTCAGCCAACCAAAGTAACCTGTCATCTGCCAAGTATTACCAAAAGATTTTTAAATTGTGAGCATAATTCACTCACTGACATATTTACTTGCAGGAGTTGATATGGCTATCCACAGTAAGCAGACCCTCTCATCTAACAGCAAATGCTCAGTACACATATCAAAATGGGTACCACTGGGTAGGAAGGAGACATGGTTTATTATCCTTGTCTGTAACAAGATTGAAGCACTGTACAAAGTTATTAATCCACAGATCTATTTCCCAGTCTTAGCTCAACCCATGCGTGTGTCCATATCTTGTCCCACACTCACCTGCAGGGAGAGAGCATTCCTCTGTGAAGGTTTGCCAACGAGGCCCTGTTCTTTGCGTTTCTTGAATTTCCGGAAATATTCTTGGATCAGGAAAGTGGCATAAAACTTCCCAACAGTCACCTCGTCATCTGAATGGGGAATATTTCCAAAAGCAAGCAAACAGCCCAGTTGAGACAAGATATTCACTACTGCAAGATCCACAGTCTTGCAGTTCAAAGAAGCAGGAACCATGGAGAAAGGGAAACATCTGCTCCTAGTGCATTGGTATATCAGGTTGAAGAACCATGTATTGGTATACAGGGTTTTAGAGGTTCTTTGGGGGAAGAGGTATCTTTCTCCTCTTAGCATAGATTAGTTATAGTGGTAGAACACTTATTACTGCAGTGCCACCCAATGTCTTACCATGTTATAGAGAAGCGGTTCCTGCTTTCGTCACATGCCCCAGTTTACTAGATAGGGCCTCAGTGTCCTGGTAAGCTCCCGCTGGGAGATTAGTACCTGGTCTGACCAGTGGAACCTGGACTGCTTCAAACCAAGGGACAAATCATATGGGTCCTACCGTCCCCTTAGTCAGCTTACTTCCTCATTGAAGTCAATGCCTCAATTCCTCATTCTTTTTTTATTTAGTCACAACCCACCTAGATTCACTAGCAGTTTCTTGGGGTTTGGTCCACAGAGTTCAATAAAAACAAGAGCTAAACATAGGCTTGAGGATTTTTCCTTGAATACCATCTCCTCCCTGCTACTCTGGTCTGCAGCTTACACAGCTGCATGGGGATCAGCAAAGGTGCTGCACTGGTGACCAACATGATGTCTCATTGTTAAGACGGAGTCAATGTTTAGAAACTGTCAGTGAGTCTAGAGTAAGCTATGTGAGTGCTGGAGAGAAACAGCTGGTACTGCAAGAAGGTCAGGCATAGGGGAGAATATGCAGTAGAAAATGGAGGGAAATGGAAAAGGACAAAGGTCATGTCATGGACAAAGTCACTGCGTGTACTCCAAAAATGTGGGGGAGCCAGTACCATAGGAAGGGCAATGCCAGCAGTGGATTTGAACCAGGCACCTTCACATGGAGGGGGCAGGGGGGTGAGGGCACCAAATCAAATGGAAGCAATGTTCAATAATAGCGTGTAGGGGCATGCTCTTCACATGACCTGGACTAGGTGCCAAAATGCCTGGGAGTGGCTCTGAGGGTGGCTAAGGCTCTGGGGGTGGCTATAGCTGAGATGCTGGCCCGCCACATCTGCCTGGATCTCACAGGGATACTAATTAAAAAGACCAGGCTTAGAAATGCACAGAAAGGCCACGAGCACCAAAGAAAAATTCTGCTCTCCACACATCATTGGAGAACTGTCCATTTAGGGCCTGGACAGACTACGCATTTACACTGTTGCAACTAGAACAACCCTGGTGTGAAAAAAGTAGTGGATAGAAGACACAAATCCTTAAGCCAGAATAATTTTTGCACAATCCATGGAATCACCTCTGAAAAAAATTAGGAGTAAAACTCAAACCAGTAGTAGTTGCAGTAGTTTAAGTTTTGTCTGTCTGCATTCATTCTAAGGAGCTATTACCTGCTTTCTTGCTGCCTAAAAGCAAGGTAGTAATAGTCACCTATTCTGTGAGCTACTCCTGTCTGTTACTGATTTTGGTGTAATTAGCATCAGTGTGCAAATCCAATGTGAATTATCTTGGGGAGTGTACTCATCTGGCCATGCCCTTAGATGTGGTATTTGGAACTGCTGTTCTCTCTCTTCTCCCCAACTTGCCCATCTCCTCTCACAACCTGTCCATTGAGACAATTACATATTCATTGGCACAGACTGGGTCTGCATAATTTTGAGTCAGGTAAGTAGATACTGTTTCTCAGAGCAAAGTGTGCCCCCCAGTAAACTTATTCTAGGGATTGCAAGGTGCAGTATAGATAGACAGGAGTGTGGACAGACAAAAAGCAGATAAAGAAGTAGGTGGGAACAGACACAAAAGGGCCCATGTGCTCACCGCCAGCTGGGGGCACGACCTGATCCAGCAGCTTCATACTGGTGCGCTTCCAGATTTTCTTTATTATTGCTCGAAGTTCCTCATTAGCTTGCTCCAGGTTACCTGCCCAGGAAATCAGTGGAGAGAGGAATTAAGCCAGCCCCAAGAGAGGAACAATTTCACACGTAAGCCACAGCACCTAAAAAAAGGAAAAGGGTGGAGCTAGAGTCTGAGGGTGCTTCTTTTTACAACAGGAGAAAGCTTCACAAACAGCAGGGGCTCAACAACCAGATCTGGGCAATGGGATTATCTGACCACTGCTTATTCCATCGTAACAGGTAGTCTCATTCCTACACATGCAGAGATTCAGCAGCTTCTCTCATCTCCCTACACACAGAAAGCTAAGGGAGCACACTTATTCAGGGCATTGCTGGCCATCTGCCCCTAGCTGGCAGTGGAGACAGCTTGGCTGAAGAAGACAGAAAACTGCAGCAACATTTTATTTTATAAATGATCGTGAGGATGGTCTGGTCCAGTACTTTGAGATTCTAGGGAGGTCCAGGGAAATCAGAGCACAGTGACAGGACAGAGAAAGGAAGAAGAATAGCCTAGTGATCAAAGCTTATCTGGGAATGAAGAGACCTGGGTTCTACTTCCAGCTTTTTCCTGGGAGTTCCTCACTTTACTCTCTGCACCACAGTTCTCCCTTCTGCAAGACATATGCCAGCGGTCTCCAACCTTTTTAAGTAGGAGATCACCTTTGGCATTTAAAAGCAGCCCAAGATCTAGTGTGCGCTGCTGCCACCCCTTTTCCCCCACTCCCCAGCAGGTAAGTCTGTGGGAGGCGATGGGGCAGCAGATCGAGGCAAAAGGAGAAAAAATTATTTGGGGGCATGCCTCCTCAGCAGGTTAGTCCCACCCGACCAGGACCCCACTCAACTTAACCTGCCTCTGCCTCTGCAGCACTGTGCCTCACCACCGGGGCCTTGATCTAGCCCCCGCCCCTTCCCTCCTCACAGACTGACCTGCTGGGCTGCGATGTGCACATGCATGTACACGGGCACTCAGTTCCTCACCCCAGCCTCGGATCAACTCAAGAGCCTCCGAGATCTACTGCAAGAGGCTCTGAGATCTACCAGTGGATCGAGATCCACTGGTTGGTGACCACTGCCATACAGACTCCCTCCATCCCTAACAGCGGTGCTAGAGTCTGAATTGCACTGCATTTGTGGAGTGCCGTGAGAAGATACTTCAGAAAGGCAAAATGTTTCTAATAACTGACACAAAGGGTATTTTCAAGATATTCTTTCTTATTTAATGAAGAATAGCTCTGAGACTCTAATAACCTCAGTCTGTGAAGTACGCAATTGTGGCATATTAAGAAACTTGAAGGGACCAATAGTTGCACTGTTTTATATCACTCCCTTCCAGCTGCCCATCTCCCAAGTTACCTACCTGGCTACCCTGACTCTCATGTATATTCATTCTCCCATGCTGTTCCTTACACTTGAAAGTCCCTTTTCTCTCCTAGTGCATTAAGCCATCTCCTCTCCTTCCTTAGTGCTCTACTCCCACAGTGTCTAACATTGGTAACCTCAGTGAGTTCCCACACCATTAAAACAAAGTAACAATTGTGTTCAGCACTACTACCACCACCATCTGGTGCTTCCCATGTCCATAATATTCTGTCTAACATCAGGCCCAATTATATAAGCATCAAAGATAATAAGAGTCCTCCATCAAGGTAAGCCTGCAGAGGTGTACCCTTGGACTGGAAGCTCACTGTGGGTAGGAACTGAAAGACAGCCCAGCCTATCACCTCCTACTGCTTAGGAGGCCAGCAGAGGGTGAGGGGCAGCTGGCCTGTTCAACTCTACTGTTGGTTCAGAATCCCTGCCCAAGGAAAATCCTCAGCTTCTCCTTTTTCCATGCTCTTGCTCTCCCTGGTTGGCACTGGAGGATTCTGTAGGGCTGAAGACTTACATTTCAAGACCATGACATAAGGAATACAAAAAAATACTAATCATCAGAAATGATACCACAGATGGCACCAGTTTTCTGGATGATGCTTAGCAAGAAACACTGTTCAGTCCCTGGGAGATGTTTTTCATTTTTACATATCTGCACTGCTTCTCATATCACACACAAAGTGAAATGCTGGGATTGTATTATGTATGCGATATCCATCTGTCATTTTCAAACCCAGCGCATTTCAGTACATCCATCTACCCCCACAGTCAATGAGGATGTTACCTTCAGTTTTGATCCTCAGTGCTGTTCTGACCAATGCAAAGAGAGTAGCATTAAACATGACAGTCCCATCACTATTTAGTGGCATATTCATGGAGACGAGGCGCTGTGAGGCAGGGAGAAGAAACATAGAAATCATGCAGAGTCAGTGCACACTAAAAATGGAAATGCTTTCTCTCTCCAGACCTTTTTCCCAGATTTCCACTCTCTTCTACTTATGCACATATAGCCCATGTGCTTGGTTACACAGGTAAAAGACTCTTCATATCATTAGTACACTTGAAAGTGTCTGCCCAGAAGACTCTCAATTATTGTCATATACTATAAGTATATCAGGCTCAGTGTGGATAATCTTTCCTAGGGTGGATATAATCAAACCTTCATTTTGCCCAGTAGGAAGCAAGTCTTTACCTGCTGTACATCTACACAAGCTAGTATTATGTTGCAGCAGCATCAGTATTTTACATTTATATGACATCTTTCATTCCTAATAATTAAGTGCTTTGCAATCTACCTAGAAGTCACTTTGCTCACTGCTGAAATGCAGCCATCTCTGGTGCAGATATTTAGTAGTACATAGCAAAATTACACGATAGTTTTGGGCATGAAGTTTGTGTCATATGCTATTGAAAATGATGGGAGAATTTCTGAGTCAAACAGCATCTGATACAGGGATATTTATATCTTTATTTTTGTACCAAGGGATCTATAATGACCACAAGGCCCTGATTTTACAGCTTATCCCCGATGGTTTCATTATTACTTTGTCCACTAACACACATCATACAACAGTTCAGTGATGAGCTGAAGGGAAGTGTCAGCTCCTGAATCTCCAGCACCTCCTTTTGCAATTACTGGGTAACAATGATCTAACTAGATCCTGCTCAGCTTGGCAAGAAAACAGGCTAGAGTGGTCTGTCCATAAGTTACTTCTGAAAAACCTATACAAAACTTTACAACTCTGAAGGAGATTCACAAACAATTTTACATCCTATAAACTGCTCTTTCATTTGGAAAAATCCTTTCTGGAGGATGGATGTTTATAATCAAAAATACGTGGAGGAATTACTGCTGTTTAATCTAGACTAAGTATTTAAATGAGAATGAGGTACAACATAAGGAAGGAGTAACATATTTGGTTACTGTAAGGAAAAATCTTAAAGATATTTCCTCATACCCATCTGTCCTTCAGTGATCTTATCTATTTTGTCTGTTTGTTTGTCTGTTGCATGCACATAATTGATATCAGAAGCCTATAGTTACATGAGTGCTGTCTTAGACAGTGGGTTGATATGACAAATGAATTCTAACCAGACTGCTAAAATGTATTTTGTGTCATTGAACATAACTAAACATTGGCTGCAGTCTCTAAACAGAAGAGTCCCAGACCCATCCCAAACACACCATAGATGGAATTATATTATACAAGGTTAAGAGTAAACCCACGATATTCCTGGCTTCCTCACTAGGGGGCAGCAGATTTCCTCTGGTGGGTTTCTCCAACCTACCACCATATTTCAATTATCATTCCCAAAGGAGCATGTCTATAGCATTTATCACTATCTGTACTTGAGACTTCCTATACTAGGAAATGTCTATAAATTCTAGCAAGCTGTCTATCATGTAAGCTAACAAGATTCCTGACTAAAAACTAACGAAGTAGCATGCTAATAAAACAGCATGCCTCATACTCCCTAGACTTCGGATCAGCAGTTCTCAACCTTTTTAGACTCAAGGAACCTCTTTACCTTAGTTTTCATTTTTTTCCGATTATGGAAAAATGACAGAGCAGCTCTTCAGCTGCAAAGAAATCAGAACGACCACAACAGGTCAGAATGGTTTTAAGACTAAGGATTCCTATTTAAAATCTCTTGTGAATCACATGTAGATGTTTGTATATCTAACAGAGATAACAGAGCTAATATTGCATGACACCCTGTGGCACCCTTAAAAGAATCTCATGGCACCCTGGTTAAGAATTGCTGTTCTAGATCAGTAGTGCTTGACCTCCACCCCTGGAGCCATGTTATCTGGCTTACAGAGCTCTCCATGGGTCTGGACATTTAGCAGTGTTTGGAAGTTTTAATTGCCTGCACTCCCTTGCTGTCAAATTTCCAAGCCCTGTAGGTCAGATGACATGGTCCTGCATGCTGGCCATGCACTGGGCAGGCCCCATGTGTCAAACTGTGCCCTGGCCAGGCCAGCTTTGCTTTTTGTTGGATTGGACCTTGGCTGGGCCAGCTCCACACACTGGATTGGGTGCATGGACTTGATTAGGCCTGCAGACTGATTCTGTAATACTAATCTAGCCTGTGTGGCCAAAAGGTTGGGTACCACTACTCTAGCTTATCAGGAAAAGTGAGTATATGGCCTACCAAGATGCAATTTGTTACATTTAGGCTTCCTCTTTCTTTCTCTAACCTTCCCCTCATGGCACTGTCTTACCTTGCAAGCCACTCTATGAGGACAGAGCTTCCCAAAGCCCAGTGGAGGCTGAATCCTCCGGAGCAGTGTCACCACATCAAGGTGTTTGATCCGTCCCCTAAAGAAGAACATACAATAAGGAACACACTACTGCAAAAGGACCTGCTGGTCCATCTGGATACAACCTGAGTGCCAGATGAGGTCTCTAGCCCAAGATGGTTGGAACTGCTCCATTTTAACTTGACATGGCAGATGTGGTTTTACAGTGGCTCTTATACTCAGCGCATCACTCAGGACTTGAACAGCACTGATTTAAATGTTACTGTGTATAGGCAATATACCAGTCGCTTTATACTTGAGTCAATATTTGAAAAACTGACTGTGGATTTTGTACCTTAGTTTTTGGGTGCCTAGTCTAACAATTTGTTCTTTCAAAATACTGAATCACTCAAAACCTGTGGCCTTTGTAAAGAGTATTAGAGGAAGGGTCTGGCCTTTTTTCCTGGAGCTCTGATCCACTATCCTTCAATTCTTGTTACTGTGCCCATCCATTTCTGGGGCCAGTAAGCAATGCAGAGAGGGAAGTCTCTGACTAACTCTGTAAAACTCATTTGGAAATTTGCTGTTGGGCTTTCCAAAATTTGTAGATCACTCACCACTTAAAGGGACTGACTCTCAGAAAGGGGTGGAGGTTGGGGGAGATTTGCCAAAGTTAAAGTGGGAATTTCGGGTAGGCAGGATTTAGCATGGATGTGCAGAGGGGACTGAGAAAATATGCCCATTTGCAGATAAGAAAGAGCAAGACAGATCCCTTTGTCACCCAGCTCCAAAAGGCACAGGTCTAACCATACACGTAACAGCCTTGGACACTAGGATCTATAGAATTAGCAAGAGGTCTTTAGGTGGGCTTAAAGTACATGTCATTTGCACGTGCTCTGAAGCTTCTTCTCACTGTCAGAGTGCTGTAAACAAATGGGGTTTAGCGTAAATGAAAATCAAATGTAAGAGCATTTAAAAGTGAGCTATACTGATACCCAAGGGTCAAATTTCCCTGTTGGTCACACTTGTGCAGCTTTACTAACTTCAACGGTGTAACTGAGGGAATAATTCAGGCTTAAATGTGTACTACAGACACTCAGTGAAGGGGGTTGGTGCCAGCACAACCACAGAGTTGCTGTCACGAAGTTGACACATGAAAAAGCAACGACTGAATGCTGCACCTCTGCTCTGAGCTTATGGCCAGGGCCTACTAAGGGCTCCAAATCCACTTTCTACGCCTACCAGAGAGAGTAGGGTTGTTCTGAGTGGATTATATCCAGGGCTTCATCCCATGTGCTATGGCAGACCAATCCCCTCAAGAAGACTCCTTCTTAATGCTTATTTCCAACTGGCCTATTCATTAGTCTGCTACATGGCCTATATTTCCCCTAGCTGTTTATAATTTATAATTATGTGCAGCAAGGCAAAATGCAGAATATTTACTTCATAGACTGGAATACTTTTCACTCCTCCTGTATCTTGGAGCAGTCTGCCCTTGCCACTGATTCACAAATGGGGAGCTGATGGGGGCCACATTAGTGCTCCCCCCTTACACTTTTCAGAGATCTATAACACCTATTCGTACAGGGCTTGTTTCTTGCCAGAGGAACATGCCACTCTACTATATTGGCTCAGGGATGTCAGACCTCTGAGAGAACAGAGAGAATGGGACCATATATGCAAGTGACTTCTAAAGTTTAGGGTTGGTCACTTACTTGGCTTCAGGATCATACTCTGCCCAAATCCTTTTAAATTCATCCAGGTGGTGTGGTCCTAAAATGGACCAGTCCCGCGTCAGGTAATCAAAGTTATCCATTATAACAGCTACAAAAAGATTGATGATCTGCAAACAAGGACAGAGGCGATGTGATGGATAAGGTATGACCAGACTTCACTCTGCTTCTGTTTGAGCCCATATACACTTCAAGGTCTTGATTTGGACTTACAAAGCTTTGCACCATTTGGTTTCTGGCTACATCAGAGACTGCCTCTTCCCTCATGGGGTGAGACTATGTCAGCTTAGATTAGTTCGGGCTTTTGAGTTGGCAGCCTCAAATTCAAAGGAGAAGGTGCTATACGCAGGATGTTTTGAGCAAGGGCCCCTCAAATCTGGCTTCCCACTACCCGCTAGATGAAGCTCATGTTTGTTGAGCTTCTAGGCATGCTTTCTGGTCTGCTTATTTACAGAAGCCCTTGCTTGGAAGAAGACAGGGTGAGGTTTTATTCCTTTGGGGACAGACGGACAGAATATAGGGTTTTTTACTGGTAATAAGCCCAATTATTTTAAAATATCGACATTCTGAAACAGCACGCTAAACTCCAATGGCCAGCTGCAAAGCGAGTGCTACAGGACTGAGCAATGCTAGGAGAACTGCACTGCCAAGACTGAACAGATGCAAGTGGGATACGTGTATTTTCACAGTAATTGCTGGCATAGGATAGAAACCTGCTCAGCAACCAGAAGGAAGGTAGGAGGGAAGGTGGGAAGCGGGGGTGAGGTGTTGCAAGTCTCAGCATCAACCACAGGACACTAATTTTTTCTTCTGATGGGGGAGGGACATCCTTATCTGCATTATGATCAGATGCTGAGCTTTCTTTAGAGCTCTAAAGAGCACGAATCTGGGTGACCGTATGTCACTGGCACTCAGAGCCGGCCTTAGGGAAAATGGCGCCTTGGGCAAATTTGTATTTTGGTGCCCCTCTCCGCCCCACCAGGTCAGCAGCACTGCTTCAGGCAGAGGCAGGCGGGCAGGGGTGCAGGGTGCAGTCCAGTGGGGAGGTGGAACGGCATGATACACCAAGCAGGCAGGCAGGCAAGTACCGCTGCTGCTTTGGAGAAGCAATATGGGCAGACTGGAGCAGGCGCCATCCCTCCCACACATGCCTGGCCCAGCTCCTCCTGACCAGCAGCTGGGGAGGGGGAGTGGGAAGGGGGGGCAGCTGGGCTGGGCGCTACTCCTTTTGCCTGGGGCAGGAATCAGGTGGGGCAGGGTGAGAACACTGCTGTAAGCGTGGACTACTCACATGCATATGTGCTTGTGTGTTTGATGCCTCCCTGACCATGGTGCCCTGGGCACTCACCCACATTGCCCATTCCTAAGGCCAGCTCTGCTGGCAGTATGAGGCAGCTAGTCACCTCCTGCAGATAGAATAGGTCAGATTTTCCATCTATGGGATCATTTTTTTTGCCAGAGAGTGTCAGTGCCTGGGGAAGTCAGGGAAGTCACAGGCCAGCATTCATTTGTGCTGCCAATGCTGACTCACCAGGAAGGCACAGAGCATGTAGAAGCTGATGAAATAAAATATGGCAAAGCTGCTCCCACAGGATTGGTCTTCTTCAGTGGAGTTGGGTGATTCTGATTCAGGATCACACTTCTTGTTTGACAGGCAGGCCAGCATGATCTCCTGCCAGGCCTCACCTGTGGCACACCTGGGTATAAAAGCATACATGTGAACAGGGAAGTGAAGTCAGTAGTGACCGAGTATTTCTAAAAGGAAAGAGCTGCAAGCACCCTGAATCTGGTCCTACTCCCAGTGATGTCAATGGGAGTTTTGCCACTGACTTCAGTGGGAGCAGGATAGACCCTAAATCAGAAGGGGCCAGGCACAGGCTTGATGTGACCTGGCACATTCCCCTCCTCGGCTGCCTGATCTGCTGCTCTGCTTTCTGCTCCCTGCCTTATCTACCACTGTACTGTCTGCCCCCTGAAGCATCTGCTGAACACCAAACACAGAGGCTTCCACTGCCACCCCTGCACTAGAGGAAGGAAGCTGCTTAGAGCTTAAGGGAGGACAAGATTTTATGTTCCTTCATTCTCTTCTCCCCTCAGTAGGCACACTCTGCCTGATGCACATGGCCAGACCTGGGTGCTCCACACCAGTTCACAGAGCTGTTGCATTAAACTGAACAAGTAATAGTACTCTGATCAGTGTTTAGCATCCTACTCAGATCACATGATTTACCACTGTGTAAGGGAAACTGACTGACTGAAAGCAAACAACCTGGAGAGGCAGCATCAAATGACCTGAGTAGGCTGAGAGGGTGTCTGGTGGGAGCTCTGGCAGGAACTATAAACTGTCTGTATGCTGCCAAACCTTAGACAGTGAAATATCTGGTGGTCATGGTGCCATATAACTATAGGCACAGTAATAAACAAAGGAAGCATACACAGCAACAGCCAGCTTTAGGACACCAGGTGATCAAAAACTGGGGTTGGGTTGGGTTGGGAGCGTGGCGGACATAATTCTCCCTCCTTCATACATAAAACACTGAGCAAGACAGATGCATTTTGGGAGGAAGGGTTGCCTTTCTCTGTCTAAAACCTTTAACTATAGGGTACTGCTGGAGGAAGGATATTAGGATTCATGGACCAGCCATCTTATCCAGGACAGTGGATCCTAGGTTCCACGTCTGGAGACACTGGGTGCATCTACATGAGCAATTAACTTGAAGCAGTAAACTCTGGTGCAGCATTTACATGTGCACCCAGGACCACAGCAGTCAGAGCCAGGATGGAGCAGCTTTGGGCTGGCAACAAGCTTAGGCAGTCAGCCCTAGGCTCTGAGTGGTGGTGGAGGGGCTGGCTGGGGCACAAGAGTGCTGATACTGTGCAGCTGTGTGGCTGACCCCCTCCCCTAAGCCTGCTGCCAGCCTGGGGCTGCTCTGCCCTCCGCTAGCAGCAGGCTCAGGGGAGGGGGCAGGGCCAGTCACACAGCTCTGCAGTTTCAGCACTCTCGTGCCCCAGCCAGCCCCTCCGCCACCTTTCACTGACACCTGGAGCCTGAGGCTGACCCTCCTGAGCCTGCTGCCAGCCTGGGACTGCAGCAGTTTGAACAGAGGCAGAGCAGCTGGACTGGGAGGGAGTACAGGATTACAACCTGGCAAAGAGGATGTGCCCAGATGCACAAAATGACATTCAAAGACACAAGATCCAAAGCTTTGAGAGGCCCACCTGAAAAGCAGCAGTACTGCTTGTGGGAAGGTCTGAAAGTTGTTGTTGCGGTTGATTCCCGTGGTATCGTTGAGCGCAATTTTACCAAACACCTACCAGAAAACAGAGGTCAGGTCAGCTTAGTCTTGCAGCCACCAAAGCATTCTTGTCAACAATAATTCCTTGCTCTTCTTTGTTTATGAGCAACCTGTATCACACTAAGCCTACATCCTCCTACAAGATTTTTCCTGTTGGTTTTTAATGTTTACTGCTACTCCTTCTTTTCTGTTATATCATCAGAAAAGTACCCACACTGAATTATTCTTAAGTACCAGCAACACAATAAATCATTCATTATATCATGTTCCAGGAATATGTGATATAGAGATCTAATTTTAATGTGCAATCACATTACGGGTTTTTTTCCAGCTAAAAGGCATTAATAAGAGAAAAAAGACACTTTCCTTCACTTGTTTTCAAGAAGCCCTGTTTACACAAAGAGAAAAAGGCATTCAAATACCACTGGCTAAAAAGCCCTGAACTTCTGGCATCTGTATGATGTCTTGCATTTGGACATGTGTGCATTGCCTTACATTTGGAAATTACCAAGATGCCTCTACCCCTAGCAACAGGGTTTGTCACCAGGAGGTAAGTGTTTCAGGTGTACCCATGCAGCCATGTTTTCCAGGGGTCCTGTTCATAGCTGCTTCAAACTGGTTCTCCTGAACAAAAGTTCTCTGGCATGGGAATTCAAAACTCTGGGCTGAGCCCTGCAGTCTTTAATTGGGTAAAACTGCCACTGCCTAAATAAAGTCTGAGTGAGGCATAAAGGACTCGGTGCTATAAGCCTGATCCTAAGTCTGCTGAAACTAATGGGGCTTTTCCATTGATTTCATTAGGCTCTGTATGGCTAATACTTGCCCACTGGTGAAAACCATAGAATGGTGAACCAGGAAGGAAGAAGCAGTGAGTGGGGTGATAAAAGATACCAGAAGTGGCTTTGACAGGAAGGGGTAGGAGAAAGAGTTCAGTGAAAGGGAGTGTGGAAAGGTGAAGAAAAGGGAAATTGCAAGATGCATGGGAGAAAAAGCATATTGAGGAAAAGTGCTGAGAGAGATGACCTATCATAAGTCTCAAAATATAACTTGAAGCACAGGTCCTCTATTTCTGATTCACAAGACATGGGGTGCAAATACTTTCCAGATCTTCTGTGGCCATCACAGAGATGATACTTTCACCATGGAAACATAAGAAAGTCATTCTAGAATTATGGTTCCTGCTGGGTAGTTGGACAGCAGTTTGGATGGAGATGTGTCCATCTTGAAATCTTTATCATAAGCACAAAGCAGTGGTCTGTGAAAAGGTTTATATGCTATTGATTAAAAACTTTGCACTCTCTTCACTTTAATGAAGATATATCAGGTATGAATCTGGATACTAAACTGCTTATATTCAGCCTGCTTACTTCCTAAGAAAGGACCACCCTTCACACTAAATACTATATTATTTGAATCCTTGTATTCATCGGAGCTGAGTGAAACTCAGAGGTTTTGCTTTGCTGGGACTTAATGCAATTTTTGTCAGTAGGAATGTAGGTGGCTCTGAACACCTTATCTTTGAAGCTGCTCCCTAAATTACTGAGTTATTGAGACCAGCCTGGCTTTTTCAGTACAAGATTGGAGGCCTAAAGATAGCTTAAAAAATACTTTTCTTCTCTTACAGCTTCATCAGTTCTACTCCCAAGTGCAGCTCAGTGAGATCATAACAGCTGACCCTAAATCCTCAGTGAATTGTTTGATGAACCTGCTCTCATTACATATCTTTAATCAAGCCTTAAAGCAGGGCAGCTTCAGATAGTTTCAGGTCTCCTTGCAAGCATCTTGCACTGTGCTTTAGTATTTATGGGCACCAGTAAAACAACTTAGCAAGCCTAGCCAGGTCAGCAAGCTCTCTTACAACTTCATTTGCTCAGGGCTATTTTTTCCAATTTGACATCATCATGATGTCATTTCATGGGCTGAGGGTTATAACCTCATAATCAGAATGAGCAGCAGGATCAGAGCAGCTCTGAAGGAGCATAGAGCTTCTTTACATGCAAATATTCTCAGTAGTTAAAAAAAGCAACATATACAGGGAGAATTACACTGTTGCAACAGCATCAGGAATCTCTGCGAACAGAATGTTCTCCAAAGGATGTTCCTCCTTCAAGGATTCTTTGGTCTTCCCTGGGTTCAGCTTCCCCTCGTCTCTGGTGAGCAGCCACAGCCTCAGCTGCACTAAGGAGGTGCTGGGAGTGAACACTGCAGGCGGACAGCTTAAGTACTCAGAGGCAACCCATATTTTTCATTTCAGGAAACAGTATGCCAGAGATCTTCCCATGTTGGAAGAGTATGATTGTCCTTTTAATTCCCGGCCTCAAGTTCATACAACAAGCTGGGTGTATTACTATAGGCATTTTAAACTACTCAGCTGTAAAGCACAGCATGAAAGGAAGAGCTCCAAGTAGAGGAAGACACAAGAGGAGGTTCCTTTCTCCTATCCTCTTTGGACTGTGACTCCTGGGCTAGAAGACTGGTACCTTCATCCATCAGTATCAATTTGTATTTTCCACTTGGGCACACCAGATAGTGAGGCTTAAATGTTGTTACGCTTCATGTCAGAGAAGTAGTTAAGATAAATGAGTAGGTCTCTTTTATGTGGGAAATTCTTATGTCATTGCCAAACTTGGTGCATCTATGCATGATTCTGTGATTCAAGTGAGTAGCTCAACAGTATGAAACTGAAAGCTTTCTTCATCAAGTTTAGGACAGGCCCCAAACAGGGACTTAAGTATGAACCAGCCATGTGAAATGTCATCATTACCTTGGAGGTGGAGCAGTGCAGGAAAGCAAAGATGACAAGGAGTCTGAAGAACATAGGGATGAGGAAATATCAAAGGAACTGGGCTTCTCACTGGAAGTGATAATACTAGAAGGCCTAGGAGAGGCCTTCAAAATTTGCAAAAGGAGCAATACGTGACAGATACCAAATTTTCATGCTGCTGAGGTGCCTGAAAGCAGTGGATTGAATATAAATCTAGGATTAACTGGAAATACAACAAAAATATTTCACACAAAAAACAGTAGAATTATAAGATAATACACCAGCTAATATACCTAGACATTACAGTGACAGGGTCATTAGAGAAATGATAACAAGATAGGCACATCTTTGAATGCTTTTTGTAGCTAGATAACATTAGTGCAGTATTTTCTTGTTATTCCCTATATGGTAGAGGAAATACTGTGTGGGCCTTGGCAATTTTAGCTAGTTCAGTTACTAAGGGAAGAACTGGCAAGAGTTAAAGGATTAAAATTTCTTTTAGAGATGGAGAGATAAATAGACAGAATTACTGGGGAGGTAAGTGAAACCTCCCAAAACTACCTAGATTTGTTTCTAGAGGAGGAGGAGATGAGGGGAAGACAATGAAGAGGTGGTAAGGACATTTTTTTTTTCTAAAAATGTGGCGTGATGGGTCAGATGAAACCTGCCTGACCTGCTTAAAATTCTCTCTTACAAAGTCTGACTCCATTGTGAAGAATAAGAAATGTGTCACAGTGAAAGATCCATGGACACAAATAAGTCATATCTATTTTATCTTTTGTCTGCAACTCCTATGATCTGGTAGCTGCTTTGGGATCCCTAATTAATTAAGACAAAGAGGATGAAAAAATCTGCTTCAGAAAGGCAGAAGTCCAACACATATCTGGGGCAGTCACATGCTGTGCCTGCATCGTCTTTCTTCCACTTGTCCATACACAATATCAGTTATTAGCATAGATTAATGCTCATGTGGGTTCCAAGTTTATTTTTTTCCAAACTAAATACAATACTGTATTGATGCAGCTTCCTAAAGAATTGGCACTAGTAAAGAGAGCTGAGATATTGGACCTGATCCTACATTTTTATACACTGGCATAAATCACTGAAGTCAATGGAGCTACACCAGTGAAAAAGTGATGTGAAAGAAGAATTGGGTTTGATCAGTGCCATGGCTGTGAGCCATTTGAACTGATTGGTGTGTGCCAGTTACCAAGCTGTAACCCACTTCAGTAGACCGCTGGGTATTCCTTCGGGAAGTTGGACAGCTGTGAGGTTCTTTTTTGCATGCACTCTGTGGTCCCTTATAAAATGTTTTTGCTCAGTTTAGTTGGTGCATATGCTAAGTTTCCTGTTGACCACTCAACCCCAGCCAATCTTTTCTGACATCGGGATTATTGTCAGAGCACTCTCTCTTAAATGGCTGACTGTGTGGCTGGGAGAGAAACTGCTTGTTGGTTTCTGGAACTAGAAAGTGATCTGGTGACTTCTTGGGTCACTAACATCCCTAGACTCTGATAGGAGAGAAACAATTTAAGTCTTGAGAATCACCTACCTGCATCCCAATCACGGCATAGATGAAGAATAGCATCACTATTAGTAGAGCCACATAGGGGAGAGCCTGGAAGAAAAGAACATCAGAACTTATTGCCTCAGTCAATCAGAAAATTTGACACTTCGGAGCCTGGTAGGTCCTAATGGATCTCTGTTTTTTTAGATGGTTGGGGAAAGCAGTGTCGGTCTGCAACTAAAGGTCTGCAACTCAGCCATTTGACCACTAGATGCCTCTACTGATCCATGTTTGATTTCACCAACGGACCTTCAACCCGATGATAGCACAACCCAAAACAATGACGGCCTGATTTGGCTCTCACTTGAATTGGGGTAATGCTATTGTGTTCAAAAGAGTCACAATCCTTGTGCAGAAGTGAAAGTGAGATTAAAATCAGGTCCCATATCTTTCCATTTACCATGGAAAACTGGCCATGGTAGCAGTTAAGTGATGCCCTTTTACTGTGATATTTTGGAGTTAGTCTGGGGAAATGAGGAGTGTGCAAGCTGCCAGGACCTAAGTTCAAAGCTTCTATAATGACCAGTGATTTCACAAGTACCTAAAGCTTCATGAGTGCCATGCCCTGCTCTGGATTAGGCATCTGTGATGGTGTCTGAAATGTTAAGTGTCTTTGATCAGCTGTTGAAGAGGAAATGCCAAGCTCTGATAGTCTGCTTTGAATGGGAACCAGATCTGCGACATGGTGGGTGCTATCAGCTTCCACTACCTCTACTAAGAGTCAAGGCCACATAGCACCTTGAAGAGGCAGACTTTGTAGGAAGAACTAATTTTCTACTATTTCTTTTTTTAAAAGGTATTCATGATAAATAGGATCCAGCCACATAATTCAGACCCCCTTCTTAAGCATGAACACCTCAGAGTTTTGGGGTGTTTGGATATGAAGTTTGAGTTTGTTCTACTTTACTGATAGAGCTGTCTATGCAATTTGGATTTGTGTTTGGATTTTGAACATCCCACACATATTTGGGTGGCTCTGGTATTCTGAATTTGTATTTTGTCTGTAAATATTGCTAATTTTATAAGCTTATACCTGCATTTCTTTAAGGTCTAATCCTGCATTTTTTATGCAAGAAACATTTCTATTGGCTTCTACCAGAGTTTTGAATGAGTAAGGGCTGCCAAATGTGGTCTGTAGTGCACTAAAATGTTAAAACAGGAATTGATTTTAAAACTAAAAATGAAAACATTCATGTTTGCCACTAAGCGATCCCTCTGCATGCTTATAATAGGGGGGATAGAGGGAGCCCTCTGTGTTCTACACCAGTGGTTTTCAAACTTTTTTTCATTTGCAGACCCCCAAAAAATTCTGAATGGAGGTGAGGACCCCTTTGAATTGTAAGTGTGGGTATTCACATACTTTTGATTGATTATAGTCATCTTTCGTGGACGACTTGGATAATAGTCTGCAGGTTCCCAAGGGTCCTTGGACCACAGGTTGAAAATGACTGCTCTAAACCAAATGGCTGAATCAATGGTGGCAATTCTAGTGACTTTGGTGGTAATAAGATACGTTACAATTTACATTTGTACATTCTGAGAGAGCTCCCATGGATCAAAACATGGTTATGGCTTTAGGGATGATGCAATGCCAGAACTGGCCCAGCAATAGGATCCAAACAGGGATCCAGGGGTCCAAGTCCCTAGGAGCTCTCTCATACCTTTAGAACAGGCCAGAGAAGGCTGCCGGCCCTTGTCCCACTCATCCCCTCATCTTACTCTCTCTACCTCACTCTTGTACCTACTTTTTCTCTCACTCTTTCACTTTTTGTCTTTGTCCCTCGTGATGCCCCCAACTCCCCACTTCCCCTGGTTTTACCTTCTGGCTTTGTCCCTCTTGAGCTTTCTCCCTTAATTTCACCACTTTTTTCTTTTTGTTCCCACACCCTTGTTTTTATTTTTACACTCCTCTAACTTTCTTTTTCCTCCACTCTCCATGCTGGTCTCTACAGGTATCTTATCATCCAGAAACTGGTGATTGGTTTCCCACAACACAAAACCACTCTGATCAGTGTCCCACTCTGGACAGAGCACCAATCACAGGCACTGCAGGACAATTAAATTAATTATCAGGCTGTCCTGTAGGATCCAGGACACTTCCTACAAACATTCTGGGATTCAGAATAAGTCATGGTGCCAAAGAAGTAAAAAAAACCCAAAAAAACCCCAGTACAGCTGGCTAAATAAGGAGCTTCTAGCAGTGGCTATTTTTAGCAATTATTGAAACCCATCCCAGAGCTCTAGAGGTGGACCAGGGACAGAGGCTCAGAGGAGAGAATATTGCATGTAAAGAGCTAAAAATGTACAAGAGAAAATGCCCTTGCTCTTAGTGCTTGAAGTGTTTTTTTGTGTGGAGAGTTTACCATAATAGGTAATAACGGGTACTAGTACTCAAGGCGCAGTAACCAGTACTACTGTGCAGTAGCACCAGTGCACACCTTTTTAGTGACGCTAATGCGCAGTAGACTAATTCTACTGTGCATTAGCACGGCTTTTGCCATTATGTGCTAATGCACAACAGAATTAGTCTACTGCGTATTTAGCATCTGGTGTAGACGAGCCCACTGGAAGGCAATACCAAGCACTTTCTTTCCCATCCTTCTTATTTTTCAACCTGGGGAGAGGGGACCTGAGCTCAGAATTGAAATAAACTCAGCTCAGCAGCTGGGGGCAGAGCAGGCAGAATTTGAAAGAATAATAGCTTTTCCTGGGTTAGTGATGGTTGGGCTATGTCAATGAATCTCCTTCCTACTCATGTTGACAAAATAGTTCTCACTGGGGCAGTTTCCATCAGACATTATTCAGTGATGCAAAGTGGTAGTGTATGTTACAGACTGAGTGTGAACTGTTCAGAAAATGCATGCAAGTGGCAGCAAAATTTCTGCTTATTTTGTAATCAGTGAGTGGTCAAAATAAAAGTCCTTTACACCCATTTGACAGTGCTAATTTTACAGAACTTAAGAACTATGCCATGAAGGGACCAGATTCAGTAAGGTGCTACTCCCACTGAAGTCAAGAGCAGTTATTGCTAGGGTTAAAATTGGGTCTAAGGAATACTATACATGGTAGAGCTTAAGCTAAAAGCATAACTCTGCTTCCACTCTCATTTCAGTCAGTAGAAAGCTGACATTAACTTAAATGGGAACAGAATTGGAGTCCATGTGTGAGAGAATTGGCTTTATCTTGCAATGTCTCTTGAATTGCTTGGTATATGAATTACACTGACTTGTACACACAGGGCACATTTATACGTGTTGCTATGGTGATGTTGTTACTGCACTGTGATTTAGTACTTCCTTTTGGAAGTACTAAACCACAGCACAGTAACAGCCCATACTGTGCCACACGCAGAACTCATGGTTATTTTTAGCAGCTACTTCGCCACAGTGGCACACAATACTGGAGGAGCATGTTGCTATGGTGAAGTTGCTGCTGGTTATGCGTAGACACCCGCAGATGTTAGGCTGCCATAGTGACTTGCTACGGTGATGTAGCGTCACATGTAGACATACCCACAGTGGTGCATACTACTTTTTTACTGACTTAGACCCTGTCTTCTGACCACTTCTCATTCCATATACAGCTAAGGCTACCATTATGTCACTCTTACATTTGCTTCAGGAGCTGCACCAGTTAACAACCAGATCGTGGGGACCCAGTGGGTACATCCAGATGACATGCATTTCCTGACCTGGCTCCAGCAGCTTTGCCTGGGGCTCTGGGGGCCTCCTCGGGCCAGCAGCCAGCATGTGGCTCTGTCCATCCAGGCTCCAGTTTCGGGCAGTGGAAGTGGCAACAGAAGTGCCACTCCGCTTTTTTCTGCCATGGGTTTTTTGACACTGGGATTTCCTGGTATTAAAAAAATCTCACCACACTGCAAATTAGCAGCATGGTGAACACCTGCATGTGCTGCAGATGGGTCTGCAATGCTGCAAACTGCAGGTGCATGCTTGTCTGGACTTACCCAGTAAGGCGAAGTCACTGCATTGTGAAATGCAAATATATGCTGCGCCTCATTAGCAATAAGGATTTTTCTCAACGTGGCTATTCTCTGGTTTGACAATATCATTTCCAGAAGGTGGATTTATCCTTGAATTCAGTTATTGGAGGGCCAGTCATCCTTACCCCTCAAGTCCCCCTCTCCTCACCTTGTCTATGGACACCAGCAGCTAAAACTGCAGGTATGGCTCAGTTAGAGGCATTTTCTGCACTTTCTGCCATGGTACAGTAAGTTAATAACTACAACATCTTATACTTACCATTCCACCTTTCACTCTGAAGAATCTCAGTATACTTTACAAATACCTGATCCCTTTACCACCTATTGAAATGCAGCTGCCAACGGGGTGGAATAGCAGAGCACAGCTATACCCAATACCTTAGAGCAGAAAAGGTAAAATTCATCCCTATTAAGGGAGGCTGCACAGGGGCTATGCACAATTTCAGTCCACCAGAAACCTTATGTAACATTTACAGTAAGTGAACCCCATCTGAAGCAACAAAATACAATATAAACAGTGGTAAGGATGTTATGGGAGGGATGGGAAGACTGTAATTACCTGATCTGGATTTGGTCAGTGCAAGGGACATATTATTCCTTTAATAAATGCTGAAGATCTTAAGTGATCATGAGGTGATCAGGGTCTTGGCTTTAGGTCTCATTTGCTTCCTACTTTGGCCTAAGGCAGAGATCACAGTGTCCTGGGACTTCCCACACATGTGTAGAAGGGCCTCAGGTAGTGACTTAAATTGTGAAGGTGAAGTTCCCTACTGTTCAGGTCAGTATGACTCATTTGCAGCATGTAAATTCCACTTAGGTGACATGCTGACCCTTTGTACTGCAGCAAATCCCCCCAGGTGCTAATGCCCAAGCCTGCCAGGGTGAAAACTCATCTTTGAAAGGCAAATAAAAATTAAAAATACTTCTCTGTTGAGGCACAGAAGCTTCAAAAAAAGTGAAGGAATACCTGGAAGGACTTGATGAAGGTCCAAAGCAGTGTCCGGATGCCCTCCCCTCGGCTCAGGAGCTTCACAAGACGCATCACGCGGAAGAGTCGGAAAAAGGTGATTGAGATGCGAGAGTTTTCCTCTGCATTCTGGAACCCATTGGCACAGAGGCAGTAGTTATAACAGCAGATGAGGAACAAAGACCCTGGGTCACAGAAAACACTACACAGGAAGAGTTCACTGCACTGTTCCCCTTCCTTTTAAAGCTCTCTGGTACTGTGCTAACCCCAGAAGTTGGGAATTGATGCAGGTCTTGCATCCCTTCTCTCCCAAGGCTGTGGTGCTATCCTAAAGGGTCTCTGGACCTCTGTATTCCTTATCAACCTGTTTTTTTAAAGTTTCTTACTGAGGATATCTGCACTCATGATTAGGTCTTCTGTGGTAGAGGTGTTAATTGTCTACTTCAGTGTGTCTTCCTTCAGGAGCCCTCATTCCCTTCTGTTATAACCTGGGTCAAGAAATTATAATAGGTAGTGGGGGAGATTATTTCCTTATGGACTTGTCTCTCAAGCTCCTGCACAACATAGGTCAGCCAGAAGCTCTGGTGCGTTTAGCACAAAATGTCCACAGCGCACACAGCCTGCTCTGCCTGGTGAAATGCAGAAAGTCCCAAGTTTGCTTCTGAGTGTGGAGGTCCCTCAGGAGCATGGCATGTGCTGCCAGCAACCCAAGTTGTTAGGCATTTCCTGCACCTCTGAACCAGGAGATACACTGCCAGCCTTGCAGGGCATGGCTGTGTTTTCTGTGCTCCGAGCCGTGTATTCTGTGCTGTGCTCTGGGCCCTTTGTATTTCTCATGACCCTTTCGTATTTCCCACAGCCTGTACCCTGCTCAATATTTTTTTTTTGGCTTGACTGCTACTGCACATGTATGCAGTATTTTTAAATAGTCTTTCTCTTGGCTTGTGCTTTTCTCACAGCTTCTGCCTTGTTCCTAAACATTTTCCCTGGGGACTGTAACCAGCTTGGACATTCTTCATGCTTCACACATGCTAAGACAACAGCTTTCTGAACAGAAAGGGGTCAGCTGGCTTCCCTTTGCTTGTGTGAAGAACCCTACTGCCTAGGTCAAAGACAATTGCTCTGATTGGAGGAATGGGGCAGAACAACCAAAGTTACAGGGTTCCCAATTCATTTCCCTCCACTCAGTCTAAAATGGGCTTCATATACTAGCTCCCATTGGAAAAGCTGCAGCAACATAACCCTGTGCCATATGGAGAGATAGTGCTGTTCTCCTTCTACTCACTCTGCCTCTGGACCTGAAAAGTGCATAGACATCACTTTCTCTGACCCTGCTGCAAAAACAAGAGTTTAATGCTAAACATCACGAGAGCAACTTTCAGGACTAAGAAACAGTGCAGATCACCCTGATCTTGACTACTCACCACTGTACAGACCAAGAGAGAACAGACCTTTTGGGATTTCCTGTTATAGCTCAAAATAAGTAGCATCTGCCTGTGTTTCCATTTCTTATGAAATCCAAGATGCACAAATGCCCTGAATGTTTCTGAGATTATATGTCTAGATGCAAAGACCAGGGAGCTCCTATGCATGGTTGATTTGTTCCTATTTTCAGTCCATCTTCTACAGCCTTTGCTTTCAAAAGGATTTTATCCACTTTGCAGGTGGCTCTCCACTCCAGCATCACATTACAATGAGGTCTGGGTCTTTGGTATTAGCATAGACCCCACAAGCTACAATCTCATAGAAATAGGGTGAGGTAACTAATATGCTGGAGTATGCTAAAAGTACCTAAGAAGCTCTTAAAATATATTGAGTGTCTTTTTCTAATCTGTAATGTAGGATCTTACAGACCACAGAGCCCTTGGCCAAGGTTGAGGTGGGGCTCTCAGTTTGTTGGCTAGACACAGAATGCAAGGTAAGGCTGTGGAGTTCTTGCTACCTGAGTACAGTGATAGGGGATGGAGAAGAACAGATTGAAGGATAGATCATTTCTAGGAATAACATGAATGAGTGCTCCCCTAATCCTAAAGTCTGCTTGCCCACCTCTCCTCCCCTACCACAGACGACAACAGTTTCTGTGGATGCTGACTTATACTAGGGCCACTGCACACAAGTGAAGGCATTGCTCTAGGACAAATGAGAGGAAAATCTGGCCTTGCAAGAATGCAGCAGCTATGGCACTTGCCTGTCTATGCCCAGGATTACAATTCAAGAGGGAAACTACAAGGCCTATGCACCTCTCCCAGGGTAGGAAAAATGTCTGACTTTCTTGTCTTCAGTTACCTAAATTAAACTCAAGTATAACCATAAAAGAATTAAAATCAACATGCTATAGTATGTGGACAGTGGTATTCATTATGGCTTGCCCACACTAGGGAATTTTTGCTTACATTTCTACCTGTTGCCATCACTGGACCAGCCTGGAGTACTAGCATGGGCAAGGCTCTAGAAGGCCACTGGCATTTTATGCACCATGTCCTCTAGCCTTGCTGAGACGAGGTAGGAGTAACAGCAGTGAATTTTAGCAAAAAACATCTTAGTGTAGATACAGACTTATGTAAGTGACCATAATGGTCCAATTCGTTGTTGGTGTAAATTGAGACAGCTTTTAGGTGACTTTGGCTCATTTTGTGTACAGGTGTGAGGGAGTGTATAGATGTTTTGCCAGGTGGGGGTAATTGTTTGAATAGTGTGAGAACAAACTAGCCTTTGCTTGCTGCGCTGTTCCTTATGACCAACTTTCTGCTGAGCATTATCATTGCCCAGAAAAGAAATTTGGTGTGACTGCACTCAGAGAATGGGTTTCTTATGCTCTTCCTGTTACATTGTTCTAAAATGCAACCCTCAAGGATGTACAGTTTTGCATGGCTTATACTTTTCTAAGAAGTATGAATCTAAACTTTAATACTACACAATATCAAGTAGGCAGAGATTCTGAGCCCGAGTGCTTTGCTGTAAACTTTGGATTTGAGGTCACATTGCAAACCAATCTAATATTGAATTGATTCTGACAAATTGTTGCCAACAAGAAATCTTACCAGTTCTAGTTCTCTCTTGGTTATTCATTAGAAGGCAGGACGACAGTTCACTTGACCAAAGGAAAGCTCAGGATGCACAAGAAACACACATGTGCAGCATATTCACAGCTCGGGTGAACACCAGACTCACACGAATACACAACACAGCAGCTTCATGCAGAGATAACTAGGCTGGGCTTGGAGAGAAAACCCGTGATCGGGGGAAGAGAATAAAGGAGTGTGTTAGGAAGAGTGTCACAGAAGCTGGGAGGGTGGTCTGTATTTTTGGTCTTACCATAGAGGAAGAGCATTGGGTATGTTCAGCTGGCTTTAAAGAAAGGCAGACAGAAATAAGCTGTAATAAGTTTCCAAAGAAGAGGCCCAGTAGACTAGGTCTTGGCTAACACAGGAGCA